GAGAGCATGAGCAGTGGGAGAGGCAGAGGGAGAGGGAGAAGCAGACTCCCCGCTGAGCCAGGAGCCCGATGTGGGGCTCAATCCCAGGACCCTGGGATCATGACCCGAGCAGAAGCAGACGCTTAACCATCTGAGCCACCCAGGCACCCCAAAATGATCATTTTTAAATGAATTACTGAATAAGTTAAAAATTTCCCCATTTTAATTTCTGACATAGTGATTATTGATGGATATAACTCTCCAAATCAAAAGCTCTTTGAAGTCGTCAATAACTTTTCACGGCGTGAGCTGGCTTTGGGGACAGTTGCTCTAGAACCAGCCTATCGCTCCAGCCTCGCAGCCTGTGATTGGCCCCTCCTCCTTCACGTTTGTTTGCGTGAACTTCCAGTTCCAGACAGGATGAAGCAGATGCACTTCTTCCTATCTCTCGGGCTAAGTACTTCTAAAGACTCTGGATATTATATATAAAACAAACATAAGACTCTGAAAGGTAAGAGAAGAAGGGTAGGGACCTCAGGACTCAAAGAATGCTATGTCATTATCAGCAGAGAGATAGTAGGGAGACTGAACTCCCACTCTGGCCCAACGATAACGGGGCACCCACACCAGCAGGTACAAACAGCCGAATGGGGGGCCTGGACTTCCACCCCCACCCCCCAGGGGGTAACAGGAAGGCCACCCCAGCAGGGCAGTATCACATGGGGACTGCTAAAACAGGAGATTGCAATGAGATCTAGAGTCTCATACATAGTACCTAAAATGTCCAGGATACAATCTGAAATCACTCGTAATACCAAGAACCAGAAAAATCTCAACTTGAATGAGAAAAGATAATTAACGGACACCAATATTGAGATGACAGAGATTTTGGAATTATCTGATGAGAATTTTAAAACAGCTATCATAGAAATGCTTCAATGAGCAATTGTGTAACATGCTTGAAATAAAAGAACAAATAGAAAGTCTCAGCGTGGAAATAGAAGACACAAAGAAGAATCATATTCTTTGCTTGGACTTTAAAAGAACCCCTCACATTTCTGGAATGACCACCCCCACTTTGCTCTTCCTGGAACACTGATCTCTAGTGTCTTCTTCCCTGCTTGTCCCAGATGTCACCTCTTCTGGGAAGCCTTCCATGGTATCCGTGCCCCGTCCACTCCAAGTATCCTTCACCATATCACTTAGATTCAGTGCTAATTGTTCTGTCATTTGTCCCTCCCACGCTCACCAGTGTAAAAACTTGACAGAAGGAACTGTGTCTTTTTTTTTAAGATTTTATTTACTTATTTATTTATTTGAGAGAGAGAGAGAGAAACAGCATGAGAGGGAAGAGGGCCAGAGGGAGAAGCTGGCTCCCTGCCGAGCCGGGAGCCCGATGCGGGACTCGATCCAGGGACTCCAGGATCATGACCTGAGCCGAAGGCAGTCACTTAACCAACTGAGCCACCCAGGCGCTCCAGAAGGAACTGTGTCTTATCCCAGGTACTTGGCATCATACCTGGCTTATCATAAACACTCAAAAAAAAAGAGAGAAAGAGTTGTTGAATAAATGAATAAATCAAGAATAAATGGGAACTTTTCAGTGGTACTCTCTTTCCTATTCAATACAATTAAGCTCTGTGGCCTGGCATTCAATGCCCCACACAGACTGGGACACACACCTTTTTGGTATGTGGCTTCCCTTAATACATCCTCCTACTCTGCTGTACTGGCAAACACAGTGTTTTGAAAGGATCTTTTACTTCCCTGTATTCCTACCTCTGCATGCACGTACAGATGCTCTTCTATCAGCCTCAACTGTCCTCACCCATTTTTGCCACCAAAACTGTATCCACGTTTACCACCCCACTCAGATACCGCCTCCCCAGGACTCACAGTCCCTGATCTCCCTGCTGGAAGGAGTCTGCCCACCTCTGGATATACAACACTTCACTTGTGTTATTGCTCACCTCCTGCCTTGCACTTTGTAGTGTTGTTGTTTGTTTTAATGCACTTAGAGTATTCTCTTCAAGATTTAAAACTCTGTGGTTTCCAATAAACTCATACCTTACTCGTCTTTGCTTCTACCCCCTGAGCCTCTAGCACAGCCCCCCATTACTCTGAAAACTCAGTTTTGTTTTCTGAGATAATAGCACTTGCTTCATTGGGTTTCTGTGAATATTAAATAAAATACACTGTTTAAATTTTGGTATTTGAAGGAATACACGGAAGAACCAAGCCCTGTTAGCTGGACCTTCAAGACCTCTTTGGACTTCTGTTCCGGTTCCGCTGTTCTCACCCAGCTCCCAGCCGTGATCCTTCCTCTGGGTACAATCATCCCACCTGCCCTCCTCCCTTCTGCTCTCTTGCCTCTCTAACCCCATTCTCTACTCAGCGGCCAGCTTGACCCTTTAAAAACATAAATCAGATCATATTACTTCTCTGCTCAAAACCTTCCAGTAGTTTCTGAATCTACAGATAAGAGTCAAACTCCTTACTGAAGCCTAAAAGGCCTACTGTGACCTGGCCCGCTGATACCCTCCCTGCATTCACTCTGATGTCACCTCTGCAGCCTTCTTGTCCTCCTTCATCTGTGACTTCTCGAACTTGGCCGAGGTCTGCACCACAGAGCTTTGCATTTGCCATCTCCCCTGCGTGGCATGATCTCTCCCTCATTTCATTCAAGTGAGCTATGCTCTCAATTCTTACCTCCTTGGGAGTGACCACCATATGCAAAGTACTGGCCGTCACTCTCAATCATTTTATGTTTTTCATAGCTCTTCATACAATCTGAAAACATAGGTCTTTATTTACTTAGGGAAATGTGTTTGCTTATTGTCTTTCTTTTATAAGCTCTGTATGGATTTGTGCCTGCTCTGTCCCCAGCCACTAGACCAGTGTGGGGACCCAGCAGGATGTGTTCCATTAAGACTTTGGAATGACTCAAGGCTAGCTGTGAACTCCTTGGGTGGGGGCTTTCGGAACAGAAGCAGCAACCTGTTGCCCCAAATTGCTTACCTGCTACTGGGTTTGCGTGAAGAGGAAGTGTGGGGTTGATCTACCTAGAGGGGATGGAATGGGGATGACCCACGTATACAGACTTAGAGGACAATTCTGTTTATCCATCTAGATGCAACTTAGGCAGAAGACGCTTCCGGGTATGCTTTCCACAACGGACTATGTAACACTCCAGTTCATTCCCTGGGGCCGACTATGGGCACCACAGTGGGAGTTGAGCCTCACAGCTTCCCCAGGGCCTTCAGCCTCTCCTTTGTCCCAAGACCCCGGGACCTGCTTGGCACATGTTGATGAAAGGCTCTAGAGGTGAAGCCCCAAACCTGGGGCTGCCCTCGCTAGCCTCATGACATCCAACTGGAGGAACCCTGCTGCCTGGCAGAAGAGTGGGACGGTAGGATGAAGGGAAGAGCTTCGGATGCAGGACACCGGAGTTCCAGGGCATCTGGGCCAGCCAGCCACATCCCCTCTCTGGGCCTTAGTTTGTCTTTAATGTGACATAAAGGAGTTAAGTTGCGTGTATCTCTAAAATCCTCTTCAGCGGTGACTTCTTATAGTTGTATGAGCCTCATAGATGAGATCTACTGGACTAGGCTGTTTAAGGGCAGCTGGGACAGAATCCCCACGCGGAAACTGGGGAACTGAAGTTGAGTGGTAGGAGCCCAGCATGGCCAGCAGGGGGAGCCATTGCTGCGCCAGGGTGCTCAGCCAAAGGTGGGAAAGTTTGATTTTTTAAGAGTACAAGGAGTCCTTCGGGGCAAGCTGTCCAGCCACCAGAGAGAACTAGCTGCCACGGCACCCTCTAAATACACACACACACACACACACACACACACACACACACACACACACCCCCCTTCCTCCCAAAATCTACACTGGCCAACAGACTCAAGGTAAAATACAATTAGCAAGTTGCTGGGCCTAAGGCGGGACACGTTTCAAAGATCCAGGTGCTTTTTCTCCTCCTCCCACATTTCCCAGGAGCCTGTAGCCTGTACACCCCTTCTCCCTGCCATCTGAAACCTGCCAGACCCCATCGGGTCACTCTCACGGCAGGATGTAACTAGATGGGGGCCAACCCAGCTTCTCTTTCCAGATGACCATCTCCCCTTCCTGCCATCGCCCAGGGTCAGCCATCGCCTTCTAGGGAAAGTTCTAGATCTCATTCCTTGCCCTCCACCCCTGGCCCTGCCCCCCAAGTCCTGCAGAGGAACCTCTGGTGAGAGCAGTTGGAGAAAAGCAAGGGGGAAGTTGGGGGTGGGGGGAGTGCTAAAGGGAAAGGTCTGGCTTTGGCCAGATAAGAATGGAAGGATCCTTTGTTTGGCCCCAACTGCCTCTACCACTGTTGACACACTTGGGGGTGTTTCCTGAAGCTACTGAGCAGTGTCTGGCAGTGCTCCCTCCCCGACTTCCTATCCCAGCGGCGGGGGGAGCTCTGGGAGCTGGGGGCTGCCCTTGCAGGCGTGTTTGCAGTTAGGCTGGTGTCTTAGAGCTGAAGGCAGAAGCACCCCCGCCTGGAGTTGGCAGCCCGATCTCTAGAGCACAAGCTGCCTGCACCAGCCTCCACTGTCCTGCTCCTGGCTCGGGGTGGAGAGGGTGTGATAATCCAAGGTGCACGGGGCTCCTTCTCTTGCTCGTGCATATTTTGCATACAGGGACCAAAGTGTGCCACTTCCCAGAGAGGTGTTCACGGAGGCCCCAGCTCCTACGTCCTCCGCACAACCCCCTCCATCCTGAAGGCCTTTGCTGCACTCTGGTCTGTCTTTCTTTCTAGGACTAGAAACATCCAACCTTTCTGTGAGCCTCCTCCAACTGCCGGAGACTTGGCCAAAGAGCAGCACCCTGGTTTCTGCCTGTATCCCCTGAGATGGGCCCACCTCTTTCCTGGCTTGCCCCCCCCGGCACCCCCGACCCCACTCCATATCATTGTGAAGTCCAGCCCAGTATGACTGGGACACCACTGTGGCCTTCAGACACACCTGGCTGGGACAGCGACACAGAACAGATGTGTCTCAGTATCACTTTAATTACAGTATTTACACACACCATTTTGTATTCAGAAATAAAATCCACCCAATCTTCCTATCTCTGGAAAGTTCTATTTCCAACCGTCATTGAAACCAGGATCCCTGCTCACCCCTCTCGAAAAAAAAAAAAAATACAAATGAAAACCTGGGCCACCGACAGAGGAGGTGGCTTGTGATGAAGCCCCTCTGGAGATGTCGAGGGGCTCTGACTACACGGGGGTGCAGAGCAGTGAGGGGGTTGGGGTTGGGGAGGCAGAGACAGAAAGGAGTCTGCTGGGAGACTGAGTCCACAGCTCAACCCAGGAGTCAGGGGGAGGAAGGAGGAAACCATCGAGATCAGAGGATAAGGCCAGGACCTAGCCTCTGACCAAGGGGTTTCCTCAGAGGTGCACAGGTCAAGTGGCTTGGCTCAAAGATCTGGTCCCATGGTCCTGTCCACTCGGACCCACAGGGAGAAACAGGGGCCCAAGATGAGACTCTGTGAGCCCCAGAGAGACAAGGACTGAGCCATCCCCTCTCCCTCATCTGTCCCCAAAGGTAGGGACGCATGTGTCCATGCACCCCTACCCTGTCTCCCAAACACAGACACAAGACATTGTTCAAAACTTGGAGCCTCGTTCCAGGCTCAGCCAGAAAACAGTGCAGGCTTCTGTACGCAGATGTGGGGGAAGAAGGTGTGGAGCTCAGGGGAACCTGAGGGAAGCCAGTGCCTGAATCCACAGTGACTAGGCGTGGGCATAAGGGAGACGGTTTAAGACAACAAGTCTTGCTGGTTATATCATTACAAAGGAGCGGGTACATTGGGTTGCTTTGGTTTCCCTAAAGTAGAGAAGACAGACATGAGGAAGAAACAGGAAAAGGCAAAGCCTCCTGGGAGGAAATTGTAGCCCAGAAAAAGCCCATGCTTCCCCTGGGAGTTCTTTTAATAAGGCAGAGAGGAGGGAGAGGGAAGAAGCCCATGTGTGAATGATGCAAGATCATCACCCCCCCACCCCCAACCCTGGTAGCTTCCCTCCACTTTGGCATTTCCCCCTCATACCTTCACTCAAAGTAGACCAGATTCTAAGCTTAGCGAGCTGAACGTGGAAAGGGCAGGGGTTACCTCCCGGTCCCCAAGGTAGAGAGAGACCCTCGGCCTGGTGGGGTGCAGGGCCCCAGGAACGGCCTCCGAGGGTGTGTGCAGCAGGAAAGGGGAGAAGGTAAGGGATCGAGGCAGCTTGTGGTCAGATGCAGGGAGGGGCCCCTTCCCCAGACCTTGCCCAGCCTCGCCCCTCCCAGCCGAGTCACAATTCCGTATCAGCCACCACGTGTTGTCTTGCTGAATGGCCGTTTCTGGATGTGGCCTGGCCGGTCCCGTTCTCCTGAGCCCCTCGGTTCACACTGGCCTTTCCCTGAGCCTCAGGGGAGGCCCCAGGGCCTGAGCTATAGCCCTGGCCTCCACCGTTCTCCGTGTAATAAGGGTCTTCGCCCTAGACAGTGTATAAATAAAGGAGCATTATCTGGTAAGCAGGGGAGTGAGGCGGTGATGGGGGGAGGAGAGGGGGGGGGTTGCAGCTGCATGTGCAGACTCCTTTCTTCCTGAAGAGCGGTCAGGGTTCCAGCTCCTAGAGGAGAAAGGACAGAGGAGAGGCACCACACCGTGCCACTGAGACTCAATAACCAGCTCCCGCCAGCAACCAGGCAGTCCCCAGGATGGAATAACCTCCCCAGAGAAGGGAGCAGGCCAGAGGCCAAGGGTCAAACCCCAGCGTTGTCCTCCCACATCCAGAACACTTCAAGAGTATATTTTCTTTCCATATGTCCCTTCCTGTGAGCTAGATGGGACCCATGGGCACTTAATATACATGCAAAAAAGTGTGGCTGATTCAACAGCCTGTTCTGGTTGTACCCAGCTGAACTACCCCTGGCCAAATCAGAAATAGATGATATGAGCCATCTGCTGCCACAGTGAGCGGGTGGGCTGACTCCAGTTAGTGCCCTCTTCCTAATCTGCTCCATATTATTCAGCCTTGTCCACTGACATGGTAATGTGCGTGTATGCACGTCCATGCATAAAGGCACAGAAGTACCTTTCCTGGGATTTCTCCTCCCCACTTCGTGACACTTATGGACCTCCCCAGAGGACCACTATCTTCCTCATTTTCTTTGCCTTGGACCCCTAAACTGACCAGCCTTTCTCCTGTGGGACTCCAGCTGCGGCGGTTCATCAGGAAATAGCCAGTGGTGCCCAAGACAGCCAGCAGGATCCCTGAGGTGACCAGTGCAATCAGGATCTTGCGGGAAGAGCTCTGGTGGCTCCCAACATCTTGCTCAGTGAAGCCTTGGATCCCCAGCTGGAAGGGAAGACACAGAACAGACAGACTGTTACTTGTGGGATGTGAGTTCTGGAGCCCATGCTAGACCCAACAGAGGAGAAACACAAGAAGACTTTGACCTCAGGGATTTTTCTAAACAGGATTGAAGACTGACATCTCTTAATCAAGTTGCACCATAAAATTTTGGTTCAAGCACAGAAAGGTAAAGACTGTCGGAGAAGGTTGGAGAGATAGGAAGGACAGGTCTAGAAAAGAGAATTACTTTCTCCCCTACTCGAATGAATTCCCTTGACCCAGTATTCCCTCTGAGAATTCCCATCATCTTAGAGAACTTACCTTTTTCAGGTCAGACTGGTGCTTTTTCAGAAGTTGGAGCTTCCTGGAAAGTTCTAGAATTAGAAACAGGGACTGCTGAATCTAGAAGCTGGAAGAGCTGTGCCCTCCTATGATGTTCTAGATGATGCTCTGATGGCCAGGGTGGTCCATCTCAGGAGAGCCTCTCCCAAAGTTAGCCCAGCTCTTCTCCCTAGACCCCAAGACAGATGCGCCCCTTACCTGTTCTGTTGGCCAAGACCAGCAGCAGGCAGTGAGGCCTCACCTCAGACTGGGCCAGAAGCAAGGAGCACACCCCGGCCCCAGGCTCAGCCTGCTCCTTCTCACACAGGACTTGGGTTAGTTCCTCTTCATTATCCTTCTTAAAGTCCTCCTGGGAAGACAGAAAGAAATGGCGAGCAGAAGATGAAATTACTAATGTACCCTGAACTGGGTCCAGAGTCTTAGGCAATAATCCTGATTCAAGTCACACTATTACTCTCTATTACCCTTTTTCCCACCTAAAATTATAACTGGAAAAAAAAAATCCTGTGAACTATATATGTGCAAAAACTCAACAAGAAAAAAACTCCAAAATTTTCCAGTAACCAAAACAATATGTATCAGCACCATAAGCAGCACTGAAAGGGGCTGAGAACGAATTCAGGGAACAGCATCTTATTGAAGGATTGCCCATGCACACGCACACTCTTTCAAATTAAAGTCGAAAGAAATCGCCGATACCAGAAAATATGAACAGTATGTTACTGACAAAGAGAAAATCCTTTGTTTCAAGGTTACAATAGCCCCAAATGTTGGAGGAAAAGCCAAGGGAAGTGAGGATAGAGCACAAATCTCTGGCTGTAGCCTCAGTGGCATCAGCGGGCCCTTCCCTCCTACCCCCCAAGGGGGCTCACAGAGAGCCTGGCTCAAACTGAAATGGCTTTTTTTTATCATCCCCTCTTTCTCATTAATGGCATGGACCCCAGTTTTCCATGAGGTTCACAGATTGCTCCAGGCTGCTGGCTGGTCTCTAGGACTCAAGGACTCAGCCCCCCGAGGAGAAATCCTCATGATTCTTTGATAGTTGAGTCCCGGGACCGGGATGAGTCGGAAACACCGGCTGTACCCTTCCAACACCCTGTTCTTCTCACATGTCCCAGGATGTGTTCCAGCAGCTTCCAATCAGAGCACACCCCCCACCCCCCCATCCCCCCCACCCCCCCGCACAGGAAAGGAACCGAAACCAAGACTCTCTCTTCTGTCCGGATGGCAGATGGTGAGGAGGAAATGCCTGAACAGCTCCGACAGCTTTCCTGTTCGGGGAAAACTGCTGGGGCGTGTGAGGGGCATCCGAACTGAGCCTCCGTGGGGGAGAAAGCTTCCTGTTTGTGGGGCAGCGCCGCTCCTTGGGGCCCTCCCAGCTTGGAAAGCAGCCTGGGTATTTTCCTACGGCTGTGGCCCGCGGCAGGAAAGCCCAGGATCCTTTGCTCCTGCACAAGGCAGAGTCGGGATTGGCCCGAGGCCCCAGCTTTCTTCTCTCAGTTGGAATTTAAGGGAGCTCAGGAGGAGCTCACTGGGCTCGGATGAGGCCAGAAGAGCAGGGCTACCTAACCTCCAGGTCACAGAGAGGAGTCCAGAGGTAGCCTCAGAAGGCCCTCAAGAACCAAGGTCACAGAAATTTGAATTCTCCAGCCACTGCTGTTTTACCCCTGAGGGAAAGGTCTCTAAGGAAATACTTGGATAGAGGCTCTGTTTCTGGAAAAATCTGGTTCTTGAAAACAGCATTTGCGGCGGGCAGTCTGGACACCATTGGATATGATCAACAGTCTGTTTCTTCTCTAGGATCCTTTCTCTTTGGGGAGCCTTGTGTTGCTTTCCTGTGAGCACCACACCCTCCCAAACACCATGCCTTCTGGATGAGGAGGAGGGAAGTCCCTACCTAGATGACTCCGGGCTTCTGGAGTGTCTCTGGTTGAGCTACGTCTCCTTCCTGAGAGAAGCAGAGGGACAGGGCTCCTGCATAATCTAAACAAGCCAAACAAAACGGCACCTTGCTCAAACTACAGAATCTTAAGAAGCTGCACCTCAACCATAGTCACCTCTTCTGACATTTATGAAGCCCCGATTGTAAGACACTGTGAAAATCTCTGCACGTGTATCAAGTGTGTGGTGGGCTAGGGTTGGGGTGGGGATAGCTATGAACTTCACACAGTCACAGCTCTGTCTGCATGCATGGCAGAGAACATACATGATGCTTACTATGTCTCCGTCACTGTTCTGAGTACTTTACGCATATTGGCTCATTTAGGCTTTGCATAACCCTTTCAGATGGCTGTTATTATTCTCCCCATTTGACAGATGAAGAAACTGAGGCACAAAGAGACAGGTGACAGAGGTAGTTCCATGGTAGGAACCATGACAAAGGCACTGCTAAAATGCTATGGACATTCAAAGGAGGGTGAGGGCACATCAGGTTTGGGGTTAGCAGTGACATGTCAAAGTAGGTCTTGAAGAATGGGGAGAATGTGTGCTGGAGAAGCTGGTAGGGAAAGGCCTTCGGATGGGGTGCTACCACCATGGGGAGCCCAAATGTGTGAGAGCCTGTGACCTTCACAACCCTGGCTATAAGAAGAAGGAAGAACACCACCTTCTTCCTTGGATTCCCCATCCTTCAAGACTCCACTCAAATCCCACCTCCTCCATGAAGTTGGTCCTATCTTCCATAGACTGGGCATCAGCCTTGCCTCTGCTATTTACTAGGTTCTTTGCAAGTCATGCAGCTGGTCTGAGTGTGAGGTTTCTAAGCTGAAGACTGAGTTGTGACTAAGGAGATGTTGTATGAAGAGTGCCCAACAAGGTGTCTGTGGAAACTAATGGGCACTGGACAAATGACAGCTAGTACTGTTACTATTAATAAAAAACCATACTATGCACCATATCCCTCAGAATCCACATTTTGAGGTTTGATCATCTTCTGCCTTACTGTTATAGTCATTTCACTCTGGCTAGACTCTAAGACTCCTTAGTTGGGGGAGTGGGTGTACGTTACATAATTTCATAATTTTGAACCCAGACTGCACTAAGCACAGCACCAAACAAACAAAGGAACTCACAGAATTGTTGTTCAACTTAACGTCCCAACTGGTTTGGCCTCCACACAGGATTCCTCCACCCTTTGCTTAGTTTCTTGGACTAAATTCAAGGGAATGACCGCGGCCAGCCTCCCACTTTGGAGTTCAGCAGCAACAGTGAATTGTGTTGGGGACTGGAGAGGAGCAGGTGGATCTTGAACAAAGCACAGTGTTTCTCCGGATGCTTGAAATAAACATCCTTCCCCAAGAGAGGCTGTGGGCAGATACCATGGGAGAGTGGGCAGGAGGAAACCACAACCTTTGCCATTTTGCTCATGAGAATCAGATTTGTGAGCCCCTAGCCACATCTGCTCACACATGTTACTTTGCAAAAATAATACCTACAATAATAAAACCATCTAACCTTTCTTGGGTAGCACCCTCAAACTTTGCAAAGACTCTTAACATGTTAAAGAAGCATGTTAAACATTGGAGTGGGGAAGAGAGGGACAGGTATTTTTCTAAATGAGCCTTAAGGTTTTTCTCAGTGCTGAGATTTTTAGGATCAATTCTCATTCTCTCGCTCTCTCTCTCATTTTATCTATTTTGGTGCGAGTTTGATATTGGAGGTAAAACCTTGTTTTCATTTAGAGATTGGAGTGAAGGGCCTGCCACAAGTCACACAACAAGGGGGCAGCAGGCCAAGGGCAAGGAGTTAGGCTGTCTCCAGATCTCAGGCTCTCTCCAGGAGACACACTGTCTTCATCTGTCCTCCATCTGTAAGTTATTTTTTTCTGCATGGAAACTGACCTTTAGTGTTTGGGCAGAGGGCAAGGAAGGCGTGGGCTGGGGGATATGATCTGGAGGTTGGAAGCAGCCTGCCTGAGATGAAGTCAATGTGACAGAATAAGGGTGATGTGAACTAGCCGAGTAAATACAACCTCTGCATAGAAACACATGTGGTTCAAAAGAAAGGTAGTTCTCAAAAACAAATTAGTGGGCAAAGGGCTTGAATAGAGATTTTTCCAAAGAGGATGTGCAAATGGCCAACAAGCACATGAAAAGATGTTCAACACCAATCATTAGGAAATGCCCATCAAAAGCACAATGACATACCACCTCATGCCCACTGGGATGGTTACTATATATATATAAATAACAGGACATAACAAATGTTGGTGAGGGTGTGGACATATTGGAACCCTTGTGCTCTGTTGGTGGGAATGCAAAATGGTGCAACTGCTATAGAAAACAGTATGTCGAGTCTTCAAAAATTTAAAAATAGATTTACCAAATAATCCAGCAACTCTACTTCTGGGTATATACCCAAAAGAAATGAAATCAGAGTGTTAAAGAGATATTTGTACACCCATGTTCATAACAATATTATTCACCATGGTAAAAGGTGGAAGCAATCCAAGTGTTCGTTGGTGGATGAAGAGATACACAAAATGTGGTCTCTACAAACAATGGAATATTATTCAGCCTTGAAAAGGAAGTAAATTCTGACACAAGTTACAACACAGATGAACCTTGAGGACATTACACTAAGTGATATAAGTTAGTCGCAAAAAGATAAAGGCTGTATGACTCCCCTCCTATGAGGTACCTGGAGTAGTCAGATTCACAGAGACAGAAAGTAGAATGGTGGTGGCCAAGGACTGGGAGGCGGGGGAATGGGAAGTGGTTTAATGTGTGTAGAGTTTCAGCTCTGGATGATGAAGAGTTCTGGAGACCGCACAACAATGCGAATGTTCTTAATACCGCTGAACTATTTTGGGACTACTGAATGGTTAAGATGGTACATTTTATGTTATGTGTATTTTACCACCATTAAAAAATTTCTTGGTGGAAACCCCTAGATAAATGGGTATAGCCTAAGAGAATAAAGTAATCTCACATTTTGGAAATTATTTGGGAAACCATAACCACAATAACTAAATTACCCTGACACTGCAGCCAAGAGAGTGAAAGTCAGACTCAGAGTGACAGGTGCTGCTAATGAGGACTCTAAGATGGGGTAGCAGGTGCTTGAGAAGAGCGTGGGGTTGCCTTCCCTCCCCCAGCTGACAGAGGTGATTTCTGTCTAAAGGTGAAGGATGGGGAGCAAAAGGAGAGTAGCTGAGAAATAAATGTCTGCAGATACATGGACAAAAGACAGGTCTATATGATCCACAGAGTGAGAGCTACGAGGTCGGATATGCAATACATCCCAGTGCAGAGTGAGTGTCAATACCTGAGAACAGTCAAGCGTAATTCTGTTATGGGAATACACTGGATGCAGGAGCATGCCAACACAACACAAGTACTCAAGGACATGATGTTAGGGGAATTCAAATCCTTCATGCTTCTCCTCAGGCTGTGAGTGGGACTTGAGTTTCCCACGGTTAGAACCAGTGCCTTAAGGCCTTCTGACACCAAAAGTGCAAAGGCAACCTAAGGAAAATGAGCAGGCACCACGCCACTCACAGCCCTTGGAACAGATTGATTATCAGACAAACATGCATTAGGACTCAAGGAAAAGGAATCTGAAACACAATCGGGAGCTTTGGCTAAAGATTCTGAGCGAGAATTGCTGACTGGGGAGAAATTACCTTGGGGGGCTTAGGAGGCACTGCTGCTTGGGGGCTGGGGCAAAGGACCCCTGAGGAAGAAAGGGAACCAAGACTGGCAGAGGGGCCAGGAAAACCGTAGCATGACCTGGTGCTACCACAGAGCTGATTCATCATGAGCAGTGCAGAAGCCTTCTTCAGGATACCAGAGGACTTGCTGTCTTTCCACATCCCTACTCACAGATCCTCCCCAGACCTCAGAAGGGAGTACAGACCTTCTCAGCTGTGGCATGAATAGATGAGACCGTAAAGACCACAGAGAGAAAGCAACCATAGCACAGTAAGAGCAGTTATTTCTGGAGTAGCAGTAACTTTCCAGCACCTTGTCTTGTACGATGACCCTAGTTAAATGTGAACCTCGAAGAGCAATGGACAGACACTTAGAATGCTCTGCAATTAGTTCTAAATCAGTGGTACAAAGAAGCAGCATTTTGGCACAGGAAAATAAGTGCTTAACCAGGATATTACTAAAAAAAAAAATAAAAGTTACTTTTTTAAAGCTATAATTAGCAAAGGGTTTGGCAATTTTTTTTTTAAATAAGTAGAGTTGAAAGTCAGTATCAGAAACACAGAGTATTACCTGTACATTGTATAATCATGTTTAAGTTCACCATTTTGCAAATTGCACTTGTTATCTATTGTGTGAACTAATATCTTTGCAATCCCCATTGTTTTTAAAAGTCCTAGGCTAAATAAAGACCTTAGGTATAATTTTAAGAGATCTGTGAGTCAGAATGACCCAGCTGAAAATCACAGGTAAAATATGGGTAGTCAGAATGGACCAAATAAATAGCCGAATGTTTTCTACAGACTACAGTCTACCCAGGTCCTTCCCAATCTATGCAATCACACACCACATATATGGCTCCCTTAAATGGATTCCCAACTTGTAAGGAAATGTTTTTTCCTACAAGTGAATAGGAAGAGTCCTGTCATTCCATTCTTTGTCAAGGAAATTGTAACTGTCAGGAAAATTTACCGGAACAAAGCAAGAACGTCTGCTATCACCATTAAAAGTTAATGCTGTACAGTATAGTCTTACCAATGCAATAAGACTTGAAATTGAAACAAGGTGTAACTACTAAAAAGGAGGAGAAAAACAATGTATTGTGGTAGGTAACAAGATAGCTTGCCTTAAAAAAAATCAACTATAAAGCTCTTGTAATTAACAAGTATGTTAAAGAAAATGGCTAAACCCAAGATAAATTTCAGAACTCAACTTTCTAATATACCACCAATGATCAATTAGAATATTTAATGGGAAATCTATATTACAAATAACCTTAAAAAGTTCATAAAGCCTACAGGAAAAAAAACCTAGCTTTTAGTTTTTGAAAACTAAAAGGACAATATGCTGAACAATACAAGAGAAGACCAGAAAAATACAGAGGGACTTATAGCAGTTCCAATGAAAATCTTGTTTTTTTGTTTTTTTTTAATTTTGACAAGATGTTTCTAGAGTTTTTCTAAAAGAATAGGCAAAAAATACATTTTTTTATAGTGTAGCAAGCAAAGACCTGCTTGGCTGGATATTTAAAATACTACAATGTAAAAGTATAATAATTTTTAAAAATTTAAAACAGGCAAAAAAAAGACAAACCGAACAAATAAAATATCTCTGAAGAATATGCCCTGGGACATATAAAAACTTAATAGAAGCTAAAAAACAGCATTCCAATCAACAACAGAGGGTATCATTCAATAAATAATGTTAGGAAAACCAGTTATATGGAAACTACAGCATTAAGCACAAAGACACTCTATATGGATTAAAGAGTTACATGTCAATAATAATAAACAATTGGTATTTTAGGTTACTAGTTTATATTTCACTAAGGACTTTCTTAACACAAAAGCAAACTTAAATCTGACTATGTACATACATATTCAATGTACAACAGAGGAGGGAAAAAGTAACAACTAAATTTAAATAAAATTGTTTTTGCCTTCTTTGCCCACCAGATGGGGCCTCTTACTCCCTAAACCCAAAGCTCAGTGCTGGAAAGTGCCTGACCAAGCTAAGTTCTTCCCACCCCGACCAAAGTCTGGTCCAGTCCAGGATGGCTTAAGGATGTTCAGAAAGGATTGTGGGACAAGAGGGAGGAGGAAAGGATGGGGGTGAGGTGGAGGGGAGTTTGACTTACACAGCTGTAGGTCTCATTTAGCTCCAGGCAGATACCTTGGGTCAATTTCACTTCTTTGACTTGGGAACATTTGATTTCTCCCTGTATTAAAACAAAAACAAAGTAAATAAGCCAGTATCTTTGCCCCTCATTCCCTCCCCCACCTTTTTCTCTTTGATTTCTGTGAGGTACTCTTTTAAGAGGTTTTAGGAAAAAGGAAATTTAAAAATGTTAAGGGACTAGAGCTATACAATGGTATTCCTCCCTTCCACCATCTCACTCCCATCCCCATCAGATAATCAAAACTTGTTACTATCCCAGGCTTGCCAGCAAGTAGCTATCTGCAGTCTTGGTAAACATTAGCTTAGATGGTACAGAAATGGAAGAAGGGAGGAACTTTTCCCACTGGGGCTGTTTTCCCTGCAGTGGATTATACACTTGCAAGCAAGGCCATGTAAGCAAACAGATAATGGGGTGGCCAGGCAGAACCTGGTGACACTCTTTTTCCTCTTGGCCCCTTGGACTCCCCAGATTCCTATTCTAGTTCCTTTAAAAACAGAAACCAGGCAGGTTCCTCACACCTGCCTCGAGGCTCCACGCCCTCATATTTTCTCCCCTTCCTGCTAAAAGCTGTTGACAGCCATAGACCCCAAGGCTGAGCTCACCAACCCTGGTCTGCCCAGTTCTTCATGGCTTCTCTATGCCTGGCATACTGTCAAACCTTCTCATATACAGGAAACGGTAGTTGTCCTAAACCTTTTTGGAAAAGTTGCCCCATTATATGGAGGATGGTTTCCAAATATGCCCGAAGGGAGATGGTGCCCTGGTCAAAGCCCAGACGGAGAGGTACTAACAAGAACCACAGCAGACCTCCGAGAATCCCTCTTTACTTTCTACTCCTTAGAAATGCAATACCCACAGCATTGGGTATACCTGTCTCCACTATTCTCTTCCCCTGTCTATCCTTTCCAGCAATATTTAAGCTGCATAGTTTCTTTTTTAAAAAAATATTATTTATTTATTTAGAGAGACAGAGAGAGAGCACGTGAGAAAGGGGAGGGGCAGAGGGAGAGAGAAAGTCTCTAGCAGACTCCTCGCTGAGCGTGGAGCCCAACATGGGGCTTGATCCCACAATCTTAAGGTCATGACCTGAACTGAAATCAAGAGTCAGACGCTTAACTCACTGAGCCACCCAAGCACCCCTAAGCTACATATTTTCCTTGCTAATTCTTACATGACCCAAATCTCACTGCTTGGGATGAGGAGAGGTTGAAAGGAAGAGAGGGTTTGCATACATATGAAGTGAGGGGGTAATCTGCCACTTTTGGCCCAATTCACCCACCCTGATGGTACTTGGGGTAAGAGAAAATGATGCAGAGTGTTCAGTGGGGGATGTCACAAGGCTGGTGCTGTTGTATGGGGAATCCGAAACATTTCCAGGTAGCAGACTGGGCTTCAAGGTCATGTCTGAAGTTGAAAAGTTGGTTGGGATAGAAGTTACTGTGATAGCTAAAGAGGTCTGTGACTGGACAGAAGAGCTCGTGGTCCCGGGCACTGGGGTGATCTCAGAGGTAGATGTGATATTGACTGTAGTCTCTGAAATAGACCAAAACAAAACACAAGTGTGCATGTGCACATGTTTGCATAAACACACACACACACACCCCTACACATGTCTCAGTTCACCGTCTTGAATTAAAACCTTATAGAGAATGATATTGGCATGGACTTCAAACTAGAAAAGGGAATTTGGGGAATTAAGAGCTACTTCATGTCCCAACCCTTACCAAACTCATTTCAAGCCAGCTGTTGGAACCACAGCTATAATTGAAAATGTTATTAGAAGAGCTTTTGGGTTTCTGACACTGAACTGGATTCTGGTCTACCCTAAAGAAGTCAAAAAGCAGTTTGAACCTGAAGAGATCAGAGATTTCTAGGGAGTCTTCATCTGATCCTTGTTTTATCACTAACCTGAAGTCAGCATGAGAGCAGGGTACAAGGAGAATGACTGATCAGGATCAGCTGCTAAAGCTGCCTGAGAAAGTTGTCACTATATATCACTATAAATTATCAGAAACTTACTTCAGGGTCCCCAAAGCATGATGCACAAACCATATTTCGTGGGGCTTGTATGTTCCCATCTGTGGGGGAAAGGAGGCCTGGGGGTTGTCTGCAAATATCCTAATGCTTTACCCAGGCACCAGCAGCATCCCTCTGGGGCCTGAGACAAGCACTTTTTACCTGAGATGGTTGCAGTGGTACCACTGTTGTCCTGAGAGACAAGGTACAGGGTGGTACTTCCAAGAGGACTTAGGGTGGTGGCCTTCTGGTTGGATACATTTGCAAACACAGTTGAAGTTATTTCTTGGGGGGTTGACTCTTTGGTGATAGCAGTCATGTTTTCTGTATTTGGGAACCCAGAGGCTATAAAGAAACAAGGAGGACAAGTCAGAACCTCAGTCATCCATGACATCATGACATCAAGACTATCCTTCTGGACAGGTGATTAATTTCTTACTACTAGATTTTCCCTAAGAAAATAAGGAAGGGAAAGCTTGTATGCACCAAATGTCTAATATAGTATTATTTATAGGAGGGGAAAGTTGCAAACAACTAAATGAATTACAATAGGATAAATGCTATATGCACGTCATGTACCATAATCATTACAAATAAAAAATTGTAAGAAAAACTAAAGCCACATGAGAATACAAGGCAATGTTTGTAACATGTTAAGTAAAATACTAAAATATCAAATCATATCTCAATAAATATCACAGAGATCTAAAATATGGGGGAGGAAGTACCCTTATTTCCTTTTTAATGTGTCTTCCTCTCTTCCATCACTCTCCATCCGCTAGAGTAATATACTCTTGGAATAATCACTACAGCCATGCCATTTCCATGCACCCCCCCTTAAAAATCTTCTGTCTAAGGCTTTCCCATTCCCAAACTCCCTTCATTCTTTCCCTTATGGCCTGCAAACCCATCCTCCTTGTCTTTTGTTGAGAAACTCAGTAAGCAGCGCCCCAGCCCCCCCCCCCCCCGCCGACACACACAGATTTCTTTCAAGAAGCTCTGACCTAGGAATCCAGTGGATGGACTAGAGAATATAAGGCCTGGTTTCTCATCAAATGTAGTGGGAAGAAAGCTTAGTTCTGACTCTGCCAATAACTACGTAGTTTAACGCGTGTGTGTGTATATATATGTGTGTATCTCAGTTTACCAATCTCTAAAGTGAGGGTCTTTTCTTACATGGATTGTTGGGAAAATTAATGACAAATATTAAATTGGTATAGTATAATGCTCCCGGATTTAATTATTCTCTGAAGATCTTCATGAAGGTCCTTGCCTTTCCATGTTTCCTGGGGTACCTATCAGTGCCATCCTTACACCCAGGAAAGAGAAGATTCCTGACAGGACCTGAACTTCAGAGTATGTATTCTGTTCCTCCTTCTACTCTGCCCGGCCCCAAACCGTGAGGAGTCCATGGGGCCAACAGAGATGTGCCCTCTCTCCTAGGTCATACAGTGGGGACCAGAATTTCTAGAACTTCTTGCCCAAATGGCTCTTTGCTCACTTGAGGATCTTCATGCGGCCCTTTCTCCCAGTCCATCCTTCTGAGGGTGAACTGCAGCACCGGGTATGTACCTCCAAGGCACAAGAGTGGCCAAGAGGTGGCTGTTTCAGGGAGAAGGGTTGCACGTTTCGCATGTGGGTGGTGTGTCACTTGCATGCATAGAAGATCCCCAACAACGTGTGCCAGAGTTGTGAGTAAGAAGGGAAGAGGGATGGGCTAGGGCTAAAGGCCATCTCTTCCTGCTCAGAGACCGACAGGGTCCAAATTCACACGTGGCCTTCCAGATGGCCATGAAGGTATGATTTTCAAGGTAAGAGGATAGAGGATATTTCATTTAAATAGGCCTGATTGGTAACTTTGAAGTACTTAGACATATGACTGAGGGCCTCTATTCTATTCTTGGCGTGGGCCCTATAAACCTTAGGGATGGGCTTGGTGCCTAGAGGTCAGCGCCCAGCAGTACCACCCTTAAGGAAAGATCCCTGAGGATCCCAGGCCACCCTAAAGCTTGTCTTTAAATTTTCCTGATTGAGATCTAGGTCTGTATCTTTTGCGGTTTCCAAGTAAATAGCAATGTAGAATGACACCTCTTCTTTCCCTCGACATCAAGAGGGAAGTTAGGCTTTTGTTTCATTGCAATTAACTTGGGACCAAGAATGCTGCCTTTAAAAATGGTGACAAGTTTCACTCTCCCACATCTGCCTCTCTCCCCACCTGCTACAAGTAGATTGATATGAAAGGTGAAGACAATAAGCATATCTTTTTTTTTTTTTAAGATTTTATTTATTTGACAGAGAGAGAGATAGCAAGAGCAGGAACACAAGCAGGGGGAGTGGGAGAGGGAGAAGCAGGCTTCCTGCCGAGCAGGGAGCCCGATGTGGGACTCGATCCCGGGACTCCGGGATCATGACCTGAGCCGAAGGCAGACGCCTAACGACCGAGCCACCCAGGTGCCCGACAGTAATCATATCTTAATATTACGTGCAGGTGAGTGGGAGGAAGAAGTGATATTATCATCTCCATTTTAGAGATAAAAACCTGAATCACCAAGGTTTTGGACAAGAGGGGAGGCCATAGTTTATGCGGGGCAGGGAGCAATGGGGCCACTGAGGTTTAGCAGACACTTGAGTGGAAGGAGCCAGAGGGTCAGGGAGTCTAAACTGCTAAGGATCAGGATGCATCCTCCACCCTTCTGGAGAGAAAAGAATGGGCTCCTATCTGGGTCAGGTGGGAGGTGGTCTTCTCATAATAAAATAGATGGGGAAGCATATCCAGTCTTCCTCTGCTCCTAGATAGGACCTGCTCAGCAATCTGCCCCTAAGGTATGAACTCACCGAAGGGGGCAGGTGGTGGGAACATGTGGACACTGAACTGAAGGATCGTCCTCTCCGGGTACCACTCCAAGGCACCACTGGAACTCCCCCTTGACATCATCCTTCTTTCCCACCCTTTCCTCTTCTTCCTTCCAACACATCAATTCCTGGGAATCCTATCTGGCTCAGCCTGGCCCAGCCCTTTTCTCTTTCCAAAGAAAGCTGGGCCTGACTGAGGTGATGTCATGCTTTTGAACACCCCCCCCCCCCAGGGCCTCCTTCGCCCAGACAAACAGTTTTGAACTTTTCCAGATGTGCGTGGAGACCTGCTGCTGGTTCTGAGGACAGGAGTGCCTGTGCCCGATGAGTGAGGCAACTCTGGACCCAGGCCAGCTACTGACCCACTAGGGTCGGGCTCCCGGCGGCCGCAGCCTCCTCTCACCCACCACCTGGCCAAACACCGAGCAAAGGTAGCAGATCCATCTGCAAAGCGAATGAAAGCCCAACCTCAGATTCACGTCCCTGAGCCTGGAGTGGGCAAGGATGCCCGCTGAGAGCCTGGAGAAACAGTCAAAGAGGGAGGCCAGAAGGGCAAGACTCAGTGACAGGATACGTTTGAGTTGGTATAGAGCGAGGGAACATGGTGGTAGGGCCCTGGAAGCTAATCCAACCGGGGGTGGGGGTGGGGCTGCTGCGGAGGGACTGGCAGGGAGGGAGTCCCATGGTTTCACAGCTTCTAGGGCTCCCATTCTATCTAGAGCTCCCCTGAAGAGACTGCATCTTGCAGGAATAACATTTACATGAATAAAGACTGACCACAGGTCTCTGTTCATCCTCTTCCCACACACGTCCGTGGCATTAAACCATCAAATGCTGACCCTTCTTTATCTGAGCTTCTGTTCTCCCCACTCGGTAAGGGAGTAACAGCAGCTTACCAGTTCGATTCTAGGAGACAATCAGCGAAACCTCCACTCCATTCCATTCTAGACCGGGGCCTTCCAGACAAATAGCCTTTAGCCCCAACCCAACAGATCATTTTCAAATTTAAAATCAAACAAAAGTACAATTTAAAATCAAACAAAAGGCTATCTTCTGCTGTTTACTTCCCATTCTACCTTTACTAACTGTGTCTCCCTAGGTACCCGATTTGACTCTAGATATCCTATTTGATCTCAACTCATGAACCTGGGGCAAAGGGAGGAGACAAGGTATCAGGAAGTTAGCAAAAACGAGGATAAGAACCCAAAATGGCCAAATAGAGGTCACAAAAGTCCTGTAGTAAAAGTAATGCATTTAACTTATAGGCACTTATTCAGAGACGATTATTCTTGTCTTCCACGTAGTTCTAACAAGCTTGGTTATTTGATATCCTAGCTAAAACTAAAAATTAGAGACTCCTAGAAGCAAACAATAAGGAGAAACAACAGCTTAAAAAAGAAGAAACAGAGATAAAAGAAAAACAGGCATGAGTATTAAAACCCACACCAAACTGGCATCATTTATGGTAGGAGTAAATAAATGCATACACCTTAATAAGCACTAACAAAGTCACTGAGTTGCACCATAACCAAATTATTTTCCTGATCCAACTGAATCATGGAAGTTGAAGTCCTTTTTTTGAGGGGCACTAAGGAAGCAGGGGTGGAACGTAATATATTTTTAAGAGATTTCTACCTACAATTAGTAAAATGAAAAATCTTTTCATCTTGAAAGAGGGTGTACAGCTCCTCCCATCCAGAAAGCTCTGCTACCTAACTAGCTAAATTCCCATGCTTTAGGAGACTATACTTGGTCTTGTTTTTTTTTGTTTGTTTAAGATTTTATTTATTTATTTGAGAGAGAGAGAGAGAGAGCATGCACAAGCAGGGGATGAGCAGAGGGAGAGGGAGAAGCAGGCTCCCCACCGAGCAGGGAGCCCAACGACGATGCTGGGGTTCGATCCCAGGACCCCGAGATCATGACCTGAGCCGAAGGCAGATGCTTAATCAACTGAGCCACCCAGGTGTCCCTTGGTCTTGCTTTTCAAAGACCCTCTTATGTTTAGTGGGGTTTTTTTTGCTGGTGTTTCCCTGATCTCCTGGCCAGACAGCCCCATCCCATCCTTCTGTTCCAATCCTGGCAGCCGGCCCCAGAGGGGTTTCTGGGAGGAATTCTTGGGTGTCTCAGCCCACAGGGAGACAGCACTGGGAAGAAGCAGCCTGCTGCCTCCGCTGGGACCTCCCAGTCTGTGTTTCAGTGAAGCCTCCATGCGAAGAGTGTGGGCTCGGCAGTCAGACCATGTACTGAGGTTTCTTTACCCTGTTCTCGCTGTCAGGGCTTGGAAGGAGGCTTCCTCAATTCTCTAGACCTTACCTGTGAAATGGGAATAAAAACCGCCCCTACCTCCTAGTTGTTTTGAGGAATAGAGGAGTTAAGGGGCTTAAAGCAGTTAGCCCGGCTGGTAAACGCTCAAGAAATGGCGGTTATCTTTAGTCAAGGGCCCCCTTCCTTCTGCTTCTCAGAGGCCTTCAGACACGTCTCTCCGCCACTTATCTGGCACAAAATCATATATGCTGTTTCCTGAGTATAGGTCTTGTCGCCTCAGTTACATTATAAATTTCTTTAGTGTTGGAAGCGTCTCTTGGACTCATTCGTTCTACTCAGGGCGCCAAGCATGACCATCTGAGCTCGGAAGAAGTCCTCAGATTGCATGGCGCCCATGACAGACATATGCACGCCAACCGCCTCTACGGACAGCCATCGCATTCAGGGCTCCAATTTAAGAAGGAATTTATTAAATTAGGGAGCGACCATGGGAGGATGACCAGAATCAGGAGAGTTCTAGAAGCCAAGTCTCATATGGTTGAGGGCCTGGAGTTACTTCATCTAGATCGGGGGTTGGCGAACAGCTGGTGGACCCAATCTGCCCACAGGCCGTTTGTTGTATGGCCAGTGAGCTAAGAAGGGCTTTTACATGTTTCAAGTGTTGTAAAATAAAACAGAGTAGACTATGCATCAGAGACAACATATGGCTTCCAGAGTCTACAATATTTACTATGTGGCTCTTGACAGAAAAAGTTTGCCAACCTCTGATCCAGAAAAGAAGAATCTGGGGAGGGAGAATAAATAACTTTATTTAAGACTCATTTCACTTACTTACTCACTCTTATTTTTTGTCATAAGCACCAGTGATGTGCAAAGGACCATGCTCAGTGCTGTGGGAGCACAGAGTAAGAGAAGACTCCTTCCTGCGGTGTGGTGTGGGTGTCATCCCAACTTAAATAAATCTCTGTCCTCAAGGAGTTTATAATCTAGTGGGATCAGACAGGTCAATATCAGATTCATTCTGTGGTAGTTCCAAGAATAGAATCAGATTAGAAGTTACTGAAGATTGGAGTGCCTGGGTGGCTCAGCCGGTTAAGAGTCTGCCTTTGGCTCAGGTCATGATCCTGGAGTCCCGGGATCAGCCCCATTTCGGGCTCTCTGCTCAGCGGGGAGCCTGCTTCTCCCTCTCCCTCTGCTTCTCCCCCTGCTTGTGCTCTCTCTCTCAAATAAATAAATAAAATCTTAAAAAAAAGAAGTTACTGAAGATTAACTGGTTCTAATTAAGAATAGAATTTAAAGTTAATGATTAGAAGATACAAGAAAGCTAACTTCATTGTAATACAAAGAAAAGCTGAAAATAACATGTTTTTGTTTTGTTTTGTTTTTTAATGGAATGAACTACTCTGGGAAGTGGTGAGCCACCCTTCTTTTCCGGGAGCACTCAGGAAGCGTCCTTGTTATGCGTCTCACTAAGATCGGGCATCTTGGACTAGCACGAAGAACTGGCTTGTTGGCCTTCTGATGGTTCCTCTGAACCTAAGCTGTGATGTGAGCATAAACCAAGTGTCTGTGGTCTGAGGCTACCAGTGGACTGGGACTCCTCTTTCATATGCAAATAGCTGGTCTTGGCCCCCATCCACTTACCCTGGAACCCCAGGCTCCTGAGCTTCCTCTGGGGGCCCAACGTTTCTCCCAGTCCCCTCTTCCTTCATTCTCCTCATTGCCACTGACCCCTTTTCCACAGCTCTGTGCCTCCCTGTCCTCAGGTTGCTGCCTGTCTCCTTCCGATTCGCCGGGGGCCAGCCAAGCACCCAGTCCTTTCTTCCAGAGCACACTAATGCCAGGTGAGTGTGTGTTTATCAAAGGCTTGAGGGCATGGCACCAGATCAGAGCCCAGCCCAGAAGAGACACCGGCGTCAGCCTGAACTACTTAGACATCACTGTGCTAAGCACCCCTGCCACACCATGAAGAGTTTCTCCGTGCCGGGTCTTCTCCACCCTCAGGCACCACTGTTTCTGTGCTACTCCAGGCACCCCTCCTGTCTCCTCCTTCTGGCCTCTGGATTCCCACAGCCGGCATCTCTTGGGCCCATCAGATACAAAGTTCCACTTTATCTGTATCATGCTCAGCAATTCAACCTCCTGTCTGCCCCTGCACATCCAAGGCCTGGTTTTCTTTCACCCAGAGATTCTTTAAGGCATTTTCTTTAACAACACCACTGGCCACCTAGAAATGCCGCTCCACTACAAGCTATCAGTTGTGGGTTCTTGGAGTCTTTCCCCCCAAATCAGGAAGACGCAGACTTCCCAATTAAGCCAAAAGGCCTTTTCCTTTACATCCAAAGGGAAGCGACTGATCCGGGGATTGGGAGGGGCCAGAGAACAGGTGCTACAAAGCACACCTCGGTCCATCCCTATTTGTGTGCACCTCACTCCCCCGGGATGCATGCATCTTTCTCCCTAGCAAAGTCAGCAGCTGTCGGAACAAAACATCATAGATAATGTGTTTTTATTTCTTAGCTGAGGAGGGAAGAGAATGTTCTCATTAGAGAAGTCAAAATCCAGAAAAATAGGAAATTCTGCCCTGGCAACTCCGAGCATTTTCTCTTGGAGGGTGGTGTTTTTGTTTTTTTTCCACACCTTCACATTTTCAGTTCTCCACACTCGGGGCTGTTTAGTGAGAGCAGGCAAAGTCATGGAGAGAGGGAGGCCAGGCACCCTCGGGGAGCTGAGCAACCCCCCAGCTCTGAGAGTGAGCCCAGGCCCTCCTGCCCGGCATCTAAAGGAAATCAGGCAGTGAGGCCTTGTGAAGTGGAATTTGTTCCTCCTTTTTCTATTTGTTTTGTAAGACTCTGTGCCCGAGTTTATCTGCTGCAGTTTGGTGCTCCTTGCCCTGAGCTTTTGGAGACAAAGACTCAGAGAAGGAAAGAGGTGAGGACAACTGAGCAAGAAGGCCCAGGAGGTGGAGCCAAAGGGATAAGAACAAAGATGTCCAGGCGTGTTTTCTCAGTCAAACAGGAATGCTGCGGAAGAAGACTTGCATTTGCAAAGGTGCTGCCAACTGGATCGACCCTACAAAGGGGACCACTGGGGGCCACTGAATTAGTCAGAGGTCCCCAAGCCTGCTCCTCCTCCTCAGTCGCCATGTGGCAGAGGTTCAAAGGGTGGAGTCCTCTCTCCTCTGGAAAATATCTGATAAAATTCTTTTCCCTTTTCTTTTTTCCCCTCTTACATGTAGCCCCAGACAGGATATGGGTGTGGGGTCAGCATGCACGAAGGACCCAAAGGAAGAAGAGGAATGTGAAGGGGCGGGAGGGGGGGTTGGAGGGGTGTCCTTATGGTGAGAGGAAAGATAGGCCATGGAGGTCTTGGAAGGAACAGATAGCCCGAGCCTGACAAATGGGGTTTCCTAATAACTGAAAGGCTTCTCCTCCCAGTTGGTGGCACGGCAGTCCTCCCTGGTGGCCTCTCAGCTCCCACTCTGACTCTGGTCACCACCCAGAGCAGCCCCATCCACAGCAAGAAGAGTCTACTTTTGGTTCGCTGCTGTGCCCATCCTTATGTCAACTTCTCACGGGGACAGAAAGAACTTCCCAGAACAAAGCTCTCTGTCGGTGTACATGACACGGAAACCAGCGAAACCCCGGTACCCTACATTTTGCAGTAATAGCACGGAATTCCTGCAATGTCCCTCCATTGGCATTTCAAGATATGATCACTCATTTATTTATCCCACGATGTATACCAGGACAGAAAATGACTCTTAGCATTAAAAAAATAAACAAACCCTAGAAAGGTCTCGGGGAAGACGTAAAGCTCCAGATTGGCCCAAGTAGTCCATGCCCCAGCTGTCACCCCCAAAGCTGAAACAGTGGAATTCTCAGCCTATCTGGCCCAGATTTTGCAGGAGGTCAGTTGCTCCCCCCACCTCCTGCTACAGGCCAAGGCGAGACTGAAGCTGACCAGCTGAGGAAATAAAAAAGGGTGGGCCTCACTCGGCCGGGGACCAGGTCATCACAAGCTGTGTAGCCAAAGGAGAGTGGAACATCTGATCAGCTGTTCATCAACCCCCCCCTGTTAGGAGGGTGTCGTCTAGCACCCAGGGGAGTTCCCCGGTCTAGCGCTTCGACAGCTCAGTAACAGCTTTTTCCCTGCCCCAGAGGGCAGATCCACGGCTGCCAAACTGGTCAAACCAGAGCCTTCCTTAGAGCTTTCTCAAGCCCGAGTCTCTCTCTAACTGGGTGGGCACAGAGGGGGACAGCAGAGGACAATGAGAGCAAAGGGGCCTAACTGGCAGGCCCAGGTCACTCTGTGCGGCCATGGTGGGTGGCCTTTCGGATGGAGTAAGAATAGGGAGTTGGGAGCCCTAGAGGGCTGGAAGCAGAATCTTGAGCAAAAGGAAGAACAACAGACAATGTTTAAAACCTTCTAAATGCAATGAGATGAGATGGAGAATGCTATCCCCAAATGAAAGCAATTAAGAATAAATATTTATTGAGCGCCTATTATTTCTTCACCAAAGTGAGAGCAAGATCTTAAGGAGTAGGGGCAAGTGTGTGTGACTGGAAGAGCGTCCACTAGCCTGCTAACCTATTCACTAGTTTCAGAACTTGGAGGGGGAAGGGGGAGAAAGCCCCCAAATGTAACAAGTCTGAGTTGGTGCCAGGGTGGGGGGTTGCGATGGGGAGAGGGAGGCAAGGCGCAGAACAAACCCCATCTACCGCCACCTTCTCTCCCTGGGACTGGGTGTGGGTGTGGGAAGAGGGGACTGGGTGTAGGTGTGGGAAGAGGGAGTTGTAATTTAGCTTTCCGATCTTTTCACGGAAGGATCTTTTCACGGACTGTTCTTCATTCCACACTCCCCTGGTCACCTAACTCAGCTGGACTCCTAGGCCTCCTGGGCGTCCGAGCCCGGGGCCTCGTCCCAGGTTGGCCTCGCTCGCATTCCTCAAAGGTACCATTCGGGCTTGCCCCGCCTGGTGGTCGGGCGGGCGCCTGCGCTCGCTTCCCAGCAGCCGCTCAAGCCGGGGCTTTCGGAATCAACCCCCGGGCGCAGAACTTTCCTGCTTCCCTCCTCCCCTCTCCTGGCTCTGGCTCCGATTTTGCGCCCCGCACCTTTGACCACGCGAACAGACTGGCATCTTCGAAGCCCTTTACTTTAGAGACAACTCCAACGAGTCGCACGCTCTGACTCCGGGAAGCCCGGGGCGCGCCGGCCCGTTGACACCTGGGCTGGCTGACCCTGGCGGCGGGGTGGCCCGCCCTGCCCTTCCCGTCCGCCCCGCCGCTTCCCAGGTGACTGCGCCGGTCCCGGCGGGGCGCGGTTCAAAGGTCCCGGGTCCGGCCCGAGCCCCGAGCCGCGGAGGGCGTGGGGCGTGGGTGGGGGCCGGGGTCCCTTCCCTCCGCGCCCCCGGGCTCTGCGCGCTCGGCCGCGGGAGAGCGGGGACCCTCCCCGCCCGCCCGGGCGCGCGGCCGGTACTCACGCAGCAGACTGAGCAGGCAGAGCGCGGTCCAGCCCCGCGGCATCCCGCGCCCCGCGCGCGCGCCCCTGCCGACCAGCATCCTTCCCGCGCCGCTCCGGAGAGATGCGCTCAGCCCGAGTCGCGCTCGGCCCGCGGGACGCGCCGCCCCCGCCCTCCGCCCGGGAGCGGGGTGGGCGAGCTGGCGTTTTTCCCTCCCCTCCCTCTTTATTCCTGGCAAGGCCGGCCCCTCTCCTTGGCCGCCACTACCGTGAGCTTCCCCGCTCAGTCCCACAGGCGGAGGACGTTAACAGGGGTCGGGGTTGCCGCCGTGGAGGCCAAAAAAGGTGGAGGTTTGAGCGGGCTCCAGACGACTCCTTCAACTTTATATAGAGGCCCCGTCTTGTTCCTTCAAGCTCGACTTCCACTTAACTTTTAACCCCTTTGTGTCAGCCTGGCCGGTGGCAGGGGCAAGTTTCCTCGGAGTTCTCTCTCTGTGTGTGTTCTTTCCTTTTTGTTTTTCTTTATTTTTAACTTTAAGCGAGAACAATCTTGCCCAAGGGCTCTAGGACCCGAGTTTACAAGTGTGAGCATTTTGCTAATCAGGTAAAACTCAGCACATGCCCCATCTGATGCATTTCATGACAGTCCCACCAGAGACTGTGCTGGATGGTAATGAAGCATAAAGAGTGAGCAGGACACATAAATGACTGTAATTATTCATTTTACCCTTCGGAACCATTCTTGTCGATTTTCTTTTCACTTTTTTCCCCTGCAGGATCTGTCTATTTGTGTTAATTTGGAGGAGTTTTTCTTGTGACTGTCCCTAATTTTCCACATAGTTTGAGCCCATCACCATCATCACAAAGACAAAGGACTCTCCGGGCACCTAGGTGGCCCTTTCTCCAGGCACCCCCTCTCCAGCTCTGGATCTGTGAGTCTACAGGCTTTATCTTGCTCTTTCATCAGAAAAAGGACTGCCCCTGACCCCACCCTCTACTACCTGACTGATCCTGGAGCTCCCTATTCCTCACTAGTTGTTCTAGAGGTTAGTAAAGGGAACGGCAGAAACTCTGAGCTGGGCGGTCAGCCTAGTCGCAGATTGGTTCCGATGGGGGAGCTAGAGGCTGGAGGAGAGAGGGGTGGGCAGGAACAGATGATGGCACCAGGGAGGGGATAAGATAAGGCCCAGTCTGAGGTCCTCAATGGAATCACAGGGTTACAAATACCCAGTGTGCTGTCTTCCATGATGTGGGCGACACACAGCCCAAATGGGGAGGAAGGAAGGTCAGACCAGCTCCCTCTGATCTTTCCTGATTTACTTGTCTGCAGACTCCCTAGCATCATGAAAGTAGACTTATCTCTATGGTCCTTCTCTGATCTACTGTTATTTGGTTTGTACAGAAGTGGGCCCAGGTCTAAAAACACAATCCGAAGCTCTCTATTCTGATCTTGTTGGCTAACTTTCCTTTAAATAGGAAACAATGCCTTTCATCACACAATAAAACCAAAGGCTTAAGATGCAAATTTGATAGAACACAATGGTATGGAATGAATCTGTTTCAAAGTGTAAATGGTGATGTGGATCTGACCACACTGTGATCTCAAAGGCTTGCAGCTGGGGACAGAAAAGGCTGAAAAATACATTTTGAAAATCAGGCGTTTGTCCTTGGGACTTCCAATTAATAGAGAAAAGAGGGGAGCTCCTCTCCCACCCCTTTTCTTAGCTCCCCCTCAACTTTCTCCGCTCCAGGGGCTCGGGCTGCTTCACCCCCAGTGAGAGGTCATGAACAAAATGTGGGGTTCCAATCCTTGCTAGGTAGGAAGACCAATTTGGCTCACATGGCTCATCCTTCATTCTTTGTCTTTTGTTCTGGTTACTTCAAATGCCATTTGTCTGCCCTCGCTGGACCACAGGAGACAGGAAAGAGTTTGTCTGAATTTCTTAGCTAGCTTTGGTGCCAAGCTTCTCAAAATGTGGTCTACCCAGAATCAAGGTTAGGGTCCAGGACTCTGCACTTTTCATAGGCAGTGTCCATGATTCTTATGCACACTAAGCTCAAGAAGCCCTAGTTTAGAAAGAAGACACACTGCGTGCAAAGTGGAGGGCAGACTTCAGGGAGGAAGATTAGGAGTACAGGGATGGGAAGCCGGCACATCTCTTCCTCTGAGAAACCAGAGCTGTTCTTCTCTGGTCTGCACCACACCTGTGCCAACAGGTGTTAACTGGCTACCCTTCCTATTTTCCAGAGTCACTGAGACTCACCACTTCACGCACACACAAGCTTGCCCCCACCACCCACAGACTCAGGTTCAGTCTGGCCACTGAAGATGAGTCCATCCTGGGGCCCCCGTCTTATGTTTCCTCACAGTCAGATAGAAGTGAGCTCTCAAGTCTCTTCAAAGCTCCAGCCTTTCTTAGCTGCCCCTTGGTATCTCTGCCCCCCTAGTTCATCACATAAGCTGGTGCTAGAAAGGGTGGTAACTACACGGCACATAGTGGAGGGTGCAACAGAAAGATCCAGAGTGAGAGGCTCTGTCAGGCCCTTTATAGACCTTCTAGGTTATGACCATCTTTACTATGGAACATCGCCCCACCTCAGCCCCAACACACACACATCATATCGATCAATTTAAAATAGACCCTCATCCCATGTTAAATATAACTACTTTGATGTAAAAAAAAAAAAAAGGGAAATGATTTAAAATGTTTTTGAGTTTTGAAGTTTATTCATTTGGTTCTTGTAATTCAAACTTTATTATGTTTATATAAAACTGTTAGAGTTGAATTGTGGTTTACAAGTTGGCTAAGTTTACCTTTTATAGACAGTAAATACAACTTTTGTTCATTTTGATTTTCCAGTTTCATATTTTAGAACCAACACCTTTTTCCCACATTGCAAACTTGTTTTGGCTCTTTGAAAACTCTCAGGGTTTAGATCCCAGTTGAGCAGGGAGGGAGCCTTGGTGACAGAGGTGTTTGGATGCCACAGGGAGGCCATGAGGCCTTGAAGTCAGAAGTCAGTACCTTCTTTCCTCTTCCTGACTCCCAGTCTCTGTCCAGTGCCTTCTCTTGGCAGAACCTAACTGGAAACCCACGGAAAAGGGGGCCTGGGAAATATGGCATGTGGGTTCCCTGCCCCAGTGTCTGGTAGGAAATTACTCGCCTCCAAATATGCCATAGGCAGGCTATAGAGACCACAGAGCAAGAGGGCCCAGGCCAAATTATGATGATCGGATTACAAAGGTTATTGAATCTATTTAAAACATACTGCCAGAAAGACGAGGAAAGAGTTGGGGTAGGTTAGTCTGCTTGGCATAGGGAGCAAGCAAGGTGAAAGAGCCTCACTCTTGTGGTATGCTCCAATGGTATAGCTGTAAGGACCAGAACTGAAGTTAAGTAAGGGATGGAACATGGCTGGAACCAACGTGGCAACCAATGCTTGCTCTGTTGCGGGGTGCAAGGGCAGGTAGGCCTGGTCACAGGTCTACTCACACAGCTCGTCAGTGTCCTGTGCAACCATCTCCTTTGTCAGCATTTCAGGGGCAGAACATACAGGGACCATAGGTAGACAATTTAAGTAGATAATGACCTGCCTGTCAGCCCTGAGGTGATATGCTCTCTACCTTGTAGTGACTTAATCTTTCTATCCCTTTCCACCTGTAAGTGATACTCTTGTTCATTATATTCTTTCTACAATATATTCCATTTATTTTATTTTTTTCATGTCTTTGCAGATTAAAAACTTGCTACCTATTTTTAGCATATCTGAATTCTGCCAATTGTTTACCTATTGTCTATAGCAAATACAATGGAAGAATTTTGCCCATCCTGTTTGCTTTTCTTGGCCTCTGCAGAAGAATCGAATATTCTCACATAACGGAGCAAACACACACCATCCCCGGCATTATAGAGAAGCGTCTAGAAATGTGGGGTCGGAACTAAGGGACTCAGGGTGAATAACTGGCACTCATACAGTTTCATATATTTTTCATACAGATAACCACTTTCCCTGCTCTGTTTACTGAGTAGTCTCTGCTTTCCCTACCGATCTGAAATGCCATCCTGTCATATGCCAACATTGTGTATAAATGTGGGCCTGCTCCTGGACTCTCTCCTCTGGTCACCCTGTGTACCCCGGTGCCTTTCCCATTGTCTAATCTACTGCAGCTTCAGGTAAGTCCTGATATGGGTAGGGCAAGTGAAGACCCTAGTTTTCTTCAGAAAAGTGGCCTGGCTCTTCTCTGCTCTTTACTCTTCCATATGTATTAGAATCTGCTTATCAGGTTCTTCCCTAAAATAGCCTTTTGGATTTTGATCAGAACTTCTCTGTTGATTAATTTGGAGAGAACCAAATCTTTCCTTTGGTGAATTTGGCATAGCTCTCCATTGTTTGGGTCTTCCTTAAAGTTTCTGATTTTTCTTGCTGTGGTTGTAATTCATCTTTCGTTAGATTTATTCCTAGATGATGGATGTCCTCTAATGTTATTGTAAATCGTGTCTTCTTTTTAATTATTTTTGTGCTGGTGTATGAAACAATAATTCATTGTTTTATATTAATCTTCTGTTGAGCTCCCTTGTGAAACTCTCCTATTATTCCTAAGTGTTTGTAGATTCCTGGGGTTTTCTATGTAAATGATCATATCAGCTGCATATAGTGATAATTTTGTTTCTTCTTTCCAATCTTTCTCCCTCTGAATTATTATTTTTTTTTAAGGTAATGTCCTGGCAAGAACATCCGCTGCAAGGATTAAAGATGTGGTGATCCTAAACATCCTTGCCTCATTCCAGGTTTTAAAGGCTAATATTCTAATGTTTTCCCACTTAGGATTATGTTTGCTTATTTTTTATATGTGCTCTGTATCATGCTAAACACATTCCCTTCTATTCTTCATTTACTAAAAGATTTCTTTCTTTTTTTTTTATTTTTTTTTTAAGATTTTATTTATTTATTCATGAGAGACAGAGAGAGAGAGAGAGGCAGAGGGAGAAGCAGGCTCCCAAGGAGCAGGGAGCCCGATGTAGGACTCGATCCCAGGACCCTGGGATCATGACCTGAGCCGAAGGCAGACGCTTAACCATCTGAGCCACCCAGGCGCCCCGATTTCTTTCTTTAGTAATGAGCTTACTATGATTTTTAAAAATGTCTTATCTAGATCTATCGAAACGATATATATTTTTTCCTTTAATATGGTAGCACAGTGAATTACATATATAGATTTTCTAACATTAAACCAACTTTGCGTTAAGCCCAACGTTGTCATGGTTTATTATCATTTTTATACACTGTAGAATTTAATTTGTGAGTCCAATTTTCTATTTATGATTTTTGCTTCTGTATTCATAAGTGAAATGAGCCTGTATTTTTTCTTCATCATTATGTCATTGTTTGATTTTGGTATTGGGGTTATAAAGTCCTTATAAAATGAGTTGGAGAGTATTTCTTTTCTTTTTCTTTTTCTATCCTCAGGAAGAAGTTTTATAAGACTGGGATGATTACTTCCTTAAAAATTTGTTAGAACTTGCCTATGAAATCATTTGGGTCCAGTATTTAGTGTGAGACTATTTTAAAATACTGATTCCATTAGTTGTTATGAGTTCTCAGTTTAAAAAAATTTCTCCTTGAGCAAGTGTTATTATTTTCCTAGGCAATTACATATTTATCAAAGATTTCAAATTGTTATTGATAAAATTCCTTCTGTCTCATTATTCTGTGCTTTATCTGGAGTATGTCCCCTTTCTAATCCATATCATTACTTGTTCGTGAATAATTTGTGTCTTAATTTGTTACAAATGTTTAAGTTATACGAGTTTTCAAGTTACTCATGGATGTATATGTATGTATACAGGAATTATATGTTGGGATAACATCCTCATTGCATTTGAGTAGGTGGGGCTCTTCCTTAGATGGGAGTGAGCTTGAGCTGACCACCCAGTGCAGGCGCCCAAGATAATCTGTTGGCACGTTTCACAGGCCCCTTGGGATATCATTAAAGGCAAAAATGTAATGATGATTAGAAAAGAGGCATAAAATGTAATGTCTCATTTCCCCCTCCCCTCCAAGCATTGGCCTAGGGCCACCATCTCAGTTTGGCTCCTAAGGGACAAGCTCCTGAGTCAGAGAGAAAGGCTGTGGCATTTCAGCTAGACTTGCTCACAACCCACAGCGTTTCTGTGCATTGCTGCACCTATTAAGAGCTGGTGATATAGTGGGAAAACAGTGTGTCACAGTGTGATGTTATTTTACTTTGTGAAATGATAACATGCAGCCTGTACATGCACAAGGATTGTCTCTGGTGGTGAAGTTATAGCTAAACTTCACTTTCTTCTCCACTCTGTAGGCAGCCTGTGCATTTGGTGTTTACAATAGCTGTGCATTACTTCTATAAACAAAAATAACAAGCAAAGCTATTTTTGTTTTGAGAAGGTGAAAGGTGTGGCAATTATTTATGATTATAGTTCTTCCCTTTGGCTTTGTCAGGATCTGGGGTGTCCTCTGGGAGCGGCCTTGTGATCACTCAACACAGCTTGGCTAAAGGGTGAACACGTCTGTGATGAAGCCAACTTGGATAAGGATCCTTTCAGTCCCGGGAAGCAGCGCTCTGAGAATGGGTCAGACGTCCGCTGTTTGTGACTTTCAATGTGGCTGTCCTTCTGGTATTGTCTCTGCTCATTTCCCTTGTGTCAGTTCTAGGCCTTCAATAAATCTTCCTGACCGTGCAGACCTGTCTCAGCATTGCTCATGAATGCTAGTGGATAGCGTTTATGTTTCCATTAAAGCCAGAATATCAAAGGGGGTCCAGGCTACCCTGGGGGTTGGCGTGTAATTGATTCAAGAAAATTCCAAGATGAAGGATTTATGGAGAAACAAAAGAGGAGCTACTTAGCAAACTGCCTTCTTCACTTAGAAGTTCTGTCTGGTGTTACCTGAAGGTAGGTGTAGGGAAGCAGTTTCCCTCACGAGAGGGTCCAGGGACCCCCCGCTCCAGGGGCTGGATCATCTTGCACCCAATATTGCATCTAGTTCATAGGCCAATAGGCTTTAAAATCCAGGGACCCATCAATCTTGGTCTCTGCAAACCCAACTGGAGAGCGTTAACATACATCTTATGGAAGCCAAAGCAAAGAGGGTGGCTATTTTTAACTCAGGGCAGGAAAATGTGGCTGGAAAGGAAACATCTGTCCCAAGCTATTGACTCTTACGCTTTGTGTAGAGGTCTTTTCTGTGTTGAAACCATCAAAAACAAAATAAGGTGGTTGGTCCAGGCCTGGCTCTGGAAGAAAAAGGCAAGGCATTCTTCACTTCTCATTTCTCCCGCTTCTCATCATCTGTGTCGGTTCTGTGGGCCTGGAAGAGACCACCTGGGAGGCAGAGGGTGGGGAAATGGCTCCAGAATGGCCCGATTCCTGTGAATTTTTGGACTCCCCCTAGTTTAGCATCTTCATCCAAGATGCCGTCACTCTTTAGGGTTCAAAATTTACAGACTCCCTGGTTGCGCGGGGGGGTCACCAGAGGTCTCACACTGGGAGAAGACCTCTGAGCACCAGAGTACTTTCCTTGGCAGGTCTGGCTGTTGCTTTCTGAGCAGAGAAGTCGTTCTTTCTTCTAGGGGCAGCAAGAAAGTTCCCTTTCCTCCAAGACAGGCCAGCCTCCTGTGTGTCTGGCTGGGAAAGGGGGGCAGAAGGTTCAGAGACCTCTTTTTGTCTCCGCAGAAGAATTTTTCATCATTTTAGAACATATGGAGCAAGGCTAAATTTACTGACCAGAGGCTCAGGGTGGATTACCTGATGGAGGAGGCTGGGTTGAAGTAGATAGTGCTCAGGCTGTGCATTGCACAATCCAGCAGCACCAATCACACACACTTGGGGGATGCAAATAACTCTCCCTGGAGTGACCAGAGATGGAGAAGAGGAGGAGGAGCAAGGCAGAGTATATAACTAGTTGAGGAGCTCCCAGTCTTTGTCTTGGAAAACTGACCAGTGTAGTTCTGTGTTCTTTCTCTCATCTCTCTCTCTGTCCCTCTCTCCTTCTTTCTCTCTCTCTTATTTAGCTCCTTTCTGTTTTCAGCCAAAGACTGAACCAGGAAAGAAACAATTCTTGTTTTCCAGATGGAGTAGAGAGTTGCCAGGAGAAATGACCAGAGAAGAACAAGAATAACAGAGCCTGCACAGATCCTCTCATTCCCTCTCCTGGTGCACTCCCAACAGAGCCGTGTCAGAACAGCAGGGCTCAGAGGGTGTCAAACAGGGTTGCCAAACTGCATGAGTCTCTAAAAAGATCCATATGTCTGGGCTGTACCAAACTTCTGAGCTCAGGGAGGGGGCTGATAACATCATCTACTGGGTGGAAGTACAGTTCTCTTCCTTTAGGGAGGATTGCATGTCAGCCTGACTAGGTGCTGCTAGACTTATAATGATCCAGGTTTGGAAACTTGGGGTGCAAGGGCTTGGGGTGTGCAGGAAGGAGGAGGGGCAGGGAGTAGAGTGAACAGGAAAGATGAAGTCTCTAAGCCAGAGTCTATGAACCATTCAGTAGGAAAGGAGTTCGGAAGCCTCAGCACCCTGAGTTTCCTTTAACATTTTTTCCATGCCAGGAGAGAGTTTTGGGGGAGCCACTATGCAGATGGATTCCAGGACACTTGCCTACTTTGTGGGAAGTCTAGACTCGTTCCTACAACTCACCCTCCAGAGCCAAAGAAGAGTCACTGTCTTTGCCTCACTTCCTTAACCCCCAAACTGTAGCTTCCTCTGGGGTGGAGGGTAGCAGATGGTACACAGCTGTGGGACCCATCTGATTTTGCAGGGACAAGAGGAAGGCACAAAGGCCAGTTGAAATCCCAAGGGCTACCCTGGAGGCATGTCTCCAAAGATGGGGTGGTGCCCCTGACACTCTACCCAGATCCTATCTTGGACAGGCTTCATGTTTTTCCTTGGTCCTCCACGCCTTCCCTCCACTCCAGCTTCAACTGGATTAGAAGATGATTTTGTGAGAGTGGCCAGAAAGCTGTTTCCCATATGTGTGTTTTCTCCAGAGATAGCTGCATCCAAACTCGGGGACTTTGGGAGGACTGGTTGGGGACAGCAGGGACAGGGTCTCTGAGGTTGTATTGACCTAGGGGAGCAAGCACAGTGACTATCTGAAGACCCCATAGTCAAGCCAGAGGATTAGAACTAAAGAGGGAGTGGGAAGGTCCCGGAGTGTTCTCAGCTCTTGTCTCCAAAAATCTGTGTCCAAACATATGACTTTATTGAATTTGCCAAATAATCTGACTCACTGTGCGTGCGTGTGTGTGTGTGTGTGTGTGTGTGTGTTTGCTTACAAGTAGAACATAATCTTGAGGAAAGTCTACCACTTCTCTGTATTTCCTGCATTTCTCACTTGGAATTCCAGTGGCCTCTGATCTGGTCTCCCTCTGACCATTCTGGAGTTTCCCCTGTTCATTCTTCACACAGCAGGCAGAGATAAGATGTTTAAAATGAAAACTGGGCCATTTCATTCCCCTGCCGAAAACCTTTCAGTGACTTCCCTTTGCTCTAAAATAAAATCCAAACTGCTCACCATGGCCAATTAGGTCTGAAGGGTGTGGGCTTCACCTTGCCTGTCGGACTCCACTCTGAGGCTGGCCCCTTCGCCCACTCTCCCCCTCACTGGCTGTCTCAGCTTCCTAAATCTTGCTGAGGTCTCTTCCAACCTCAGATCTCCATCCAAGCTGTCCCTTTGCCTGACTGCTGCCCTTTGTCCCCTGATGGCTTTCTGTCAACGGGCTCCCTGACCGCCCGATTGAAACTAAGTCTTCCCAGTCCCTTCTATACTGTCTTACAGCACCATCCTTTAAAAAACTCATTTGTAGCACCTATGACATTTTCCAGTCCCACATTTACTTGTTTGTCACTTGTCATCCCCATTTGGCTGTAAGCAGCATGAGGGCAGAACCATGTGTATTTTGTGCCCTGATGCAATGCAGGCCAGTTAGGAGACCCTCTGAATATTTCCTGAATGAATTAATTAACTGTGGCTTTATTTTCTTGTTGGTATTCTCTGCTTTATTGGTTCACAGACATATTTTCACTTCACACTTCAGTAAAAGATGTATTCATGTTAGGGGCTGACATAGGATTATCATACGCTAGTATAGTCTTTTCATAAAAATAAGGTCATTTTTTTTTAAAGATTTTATTTATTTATTTGAGAGAGAGAGACTGAGAGAGAGAGCACATGAGAGGGGGGAGGGTTGGGAGGGTCAGAGGGAGAAGCAGACTCCCTGCCGAGCAGGGAGCCCGATGTGGGACTCGATCCAGGGACTCCGGGATCATGACCTGAGTCGAAGGCAGTCGCTTAACCAACTGAGCCACCCAGGCGCCCAAAATAAGGTCATTTTTTTACAATCTTAAGTTGAGGAGAGCATAAACTAAAAAGAAAGCCCTTTCTATAAAAGTACAATCAGTGATCTTATCTTATTTTTCATCATTTTCCCAAGGACTTAAGAGGATGTTGTCACAGACAGCCCACGCCTTCTGACTGGCATTTGGAAACCTTAACCCAACCCTAGGCTGCCATAACCTAGGACCCTGCCCGGCACTGGTTAGAGTTCTGGGTCAGACCCAGAATATCCAGGGGGCCTGGACAGATCACGTCCTCATTCTGGAGCTCAGCCTTGGCATCTGTGGAATGATAGGGTTCCATGAAGGAACCGAGATAGTGGTTAACTGTACCCACACACTGACCGGTGAGAGGGAGGCTGAGCCATGCTCGCTGCAGAGGGGACCGAGGGGGTGGTCCTAGTTGCTGCTGGGTTGAGGGAGTGTGGTGGTCATTTCCTCGTGTGAAGGGCAGCCAAAGTGGGGGGGCAGCCAAAGTGGGGGGGGCAGCCAAAGTGGGGGGGGCAGCCAAAGTGGGGGGGCAGCCAAAGTGGGTGGCCATTTCCTGTCTCTGACCCTTGAGGCAGCACCTGCAGCTCCTGCCAGGCTCCCACACCTTGGCTAAGAATAGCTCAGCTCCTTCCTGCTGGCCTGCAGTGCCCTGGAGCCCAGGGGAAAGAGCACCGGACTATCTAACCTCAGGCTGGGCTGTCCCTTCCGGCGATTCTCTCCTCCGCTTGGGGGTGGGGGGATCAAAGGGCTGCCAGGGATTGCAGTTTGAGTTTCTGACATTAGCCCCTAATAATAGCACCGTGGTATGCAGACAAGGGGTGGTATTCAGGCTACTGCTGAAGGATGGTGGGAAGCTGGAGGCCTTGCGACTGAAAACTAAGAACTTGGGTGCCCAGGGTTAGGAGGACGTGGGCTGGGGGGAGAGAAGGTCCTCAGGGGGTCTTTGAGGGGAGCTAAGGTGAGAGCAGGGTGTCAGACTAAAGGAGGAAAGGAAGCTCCTGCTTCTGACCGAGTAGGGCCAAGGTGGGGCCTGGGCAGCTCTGCAGAGACAGCAGCAGGCGGCCTGAGGACCACACTTGGAGAAATAGCCAACCACTGATAAAGTGCCCGTCCAGAAAGCAGATGCCTGCATGAGGGACTTGCCCTGTTCTGGCCCCTGAGCTGACTTCAGAGCCATCACTAGGTCCCAGTGACTCCGGTGACCGCCTCATTTATCATCCAAACAGAGACGCTTTTGACAGCGAAAGAGGATGTTTTTAATAACTACACCAGGAGAGCAAGCATAAACAGAGTCCGTCCTGGGCAAACCAGGACGTCTGGTTGCTCTAACCATGAACCACTGCTGCATGTC